TATATATATATATATATACACATATCATATTCAGTGGATTTTAAAATTTGTATTTAATTATTTTATAGTGTTCGCGTGAAGATATAGCGGACAAATTAGGATATAAGATAGAGGATATACCAGCAGTTCATATATCCAATCCAAAAACTTTGGAGTTTCAGGTAAACCGAAAATATTTAAAAAAAAAAGAAGATATTAAAAGTAATAAGAGAACATTAAAAATTCAAAACCTCGACTGTAACCGTTGAAATAAACTGAATTATAAAATATTTCGATTGTAATATTATCCGAACTGAAATGTGTGAAATAGCAGCTTTTAATAACTAAAGGGAAAAAAAAATTGCAGGTTGTGCGTACCTCACTTTTACCGGGATTGCTTAAAACAATATCGGCAAATAAAAGGATGCCTTTGCCTCATAAATTGTTTGAAGTTTCCGACGTTGTATTGCGAGACGACACAGCGGAAGTCGGTGCGCGCAACAATCGCCGTTTATGCGCAGTATATGCTAATAAATCGGCTGGTTTCGAGATAATTCATGGTCTGGTAGATAGAGTGCTATTACTATTAGAAGTACCCTGGAGCGCTAACAAGGATAAAAATGGATATTATCTGTGTGCAGCTGATGGTAAGATACATGGTGTTTGGAATGTATCCGTTTGATTAAATAACTATACGGGTATAGAATACCAGATTTACGAAATAAAACGACAAAAGAATTTATTACTTGTATTTTGCAGACCCGATGTTTTTCCCTCAACGATGTGCCGAAATTGTCTGTTATGGTGAAGTGATAGGAAAAATGGGAGTTTTACATCCCGATGTACTCTCAAAGTTTGAATTAAATATTCCATGTTCTGCGATGGAAATAAACATTGAACCATTTTTGTAATAAAAATAAATAATGCGCAAATAGCAAAGTTAAAATGAGGCTTTCATCATTCAGAGTTGAATTGACGTTCCTTCAACAGAGAGAACTTGTGCTTATTTATAACAATTGAAATGTAACATTTTATCAAACACTTGTAAAAAATGGCTTTTCAAATAAAATATAAAATATATTTATTACACGATGATCATGTTTTGAACAGTGTTAGCTATGTAATCATTAAATTAATTTTTCTGCATGTGTAGTGTCTTTTGAAAATTAAGGAAAATAAAAAAAAATTGAATTATAAAAATATATAAAGAAAACTCGATTTTTTACAAATGAACACTTGAAAGATATCGCAACCTGTTGTAATTATTTGGTCTCTTATCTATTTGATATCAATACTACAATCTAGGATGCTATATCTAGTTGAGAAATAAAAGTTTATATTTGCTAGAGTTGTATTCAACTTTAATTTTTTAAATTTAAATATTGTAAAATTAATTGGTGTTCACTTGTTATTTTTTTTTTATGAAGCTGGTATTTTGATCATTTTCAAGTGTATCCTCTATTCCTCTCAGAAACGTAAAATTGTGATATTGAAAGCGCCAAAAACTAGCAATACGTTCTTTAAATGATCAAACGGACATTTTTTACTTGGAAACTGAAATTTTTTTTTTCGACGCTGTTCACGACGGATGAATCGTCCGATTCGGACAATTAACAGATGATGAAAAGAGACGTGGCGAGTGGAGAGATATCTGTGCGCAATTGAAGTTGGGCGCCACACACGACACGACCAAGACCAACCACGATATGTGGCAGTGTAGGGCAGCAGGTAGGACTGCGTTCGAAAATATCAGCCGGATACCTCCGTGTTTATCATTCTATCTTTGTTTAACATGGGTGAATAATAAGGATAAAACGATGCACACACCACAGCGAAGAGCGAACGTGCTGGAACGCGCTGGAACGCGCGGCGTAGAGCATGGCGATGGTAGAATAGTCCTCGAGTAGTCTAGGGTATAGTGCAGATAGAGGGAGTGCAGCCGCGAGCCGCGAACGATCAATCAACAACGAGCAACGAGTGAAGCAGAATTGAGTGAACCGCGCCGCGGTTTGTCAAAGCTGAGAATCGCTAAGCGAGTGAGCGGTGGTTAAGCGCCGCGCGCTAGGCGACGGCCGAGTGCGGACTTGCGGAGTGCGGACGGAATACGGATGTCGGATAATAACGGATGTGCGATCACTGCGATCATTGCGATCTGCGGCGCGGCCGGCCAACCGCGAGGCGCGAGCACTGCGAGCAGTCGAGCACCGAGCACGAGCAGCAGCAGCGAGCGGCGAGAGCGAGAAGCGAAAAGTGGTAATAGTGGGTATATTGGAGAGTCTGGTCTCTCTGGTCTCGCTCGCCGTCGTCGGCCATAGTGAAAATGGCGGGTATTAGCTTACGTGAATGACGACGACCGTTCGCCTACCGAGAGCTTATAGTCGCACAGTCGCGGAGGGATTTCGAGTGTACGGTGTGTGCTTTGCCGCGGTACGGCTATATCAGCGGGGTAACTGTGTGTCATATGATTTATCTGGGGGGTAAAGATGCAGAATGTAGCACAAGGAACGACCTCGGATAGCCAGAAAAGCCTCGAGAAGCCAGCCTTGCAGCCAGCAGCAGCAGCGGTATTACCACCACCACCACCATCAGCGAACGTTCACCACGATACTGGAAAAACGTCGTCGACTCCCCAGTCTTCGAATTCGAGTCCCACGAAATCGGAGACTGAGACCTTTTCCGAGCTGCAGCCGCGATTTATGACAGATTCGTCAGAGAGCGAGGAGGACAGCGTTTCCGAGGTAAACGCTAAATCCTAGGCGAGTCTCTCTCTCTCTCTCTCTCTCTCTCTCTCTCTCTCTCGCTCTCGCTCTCGCTCTCGCCTAGATGCAACGTGATAAAATTTCGCCTCGCCGTGTGCACGGCCAACAGGACATGAGAGTAAGAGAGAAAAGGTGGAGACATGTTCTTAGATGGAATGAGAAAGGCAGAGAGAGAGAGAGAGAGAGAGAGAGAGAGAGAGAGAGATAGAGTATGGTGTATGTATGTGTGTGAGCGAGCGAGCGAGCAAGAAAAAGAGAGGGGAGGAGGGAGAGAGAAAGAATGTGTGTGTGTGTGTGTGTGCAAGCTATGGCCTACGCTCGTGAATAAGTGCGCATACGTGTACACGCGTTCGCGAACGAGCATAGTCTTAACACTCTTAACGAACCGAGCTTCTTGACATGAAACACGCCGATTTTATCCTACGCAGGCGTCATCTTCCTCTTCTCCCTCTCCCTCGTCGTCGACGACGTTGACACACTCGTCATCGTTCACAGGGCGGATACACGCGCTATCTCCGTTGGATCGCGTTCGCCAGTTCTAGGAACGCGCGTTCAATCCCGATCTCGAATTATCTGCCGTTGAGTTCGCTCGAGTATCTCTCCTTTCTATCTTTCTCGCTCTTAGCCTCTCTTTTTTTTTTCCATCCGCTGGCGTTTCCTCTGGCATTTCCTATTTGTATTAACGCGTATTTTCGCGTCAGCATCGTTGCACCGAGAATGTCGGCGACATTATATGCGTGCACGCGCTCGTTATACCGGATCGATCGTAACGATCTACGCGATGTGCGTGTGTGCGCGCGCGCGCGTCGGGTGTGTGTGTGTGTGCGAAATGGTGCGTGTGAAATGAATATATCCATCCAACACGGCCGTTACACGCACACATAGTTGGATGTTCCTCGTGATTTCCATGTACATGTGTTTAAACTCGCGCGTGTCATTGGCATATGTCTCGTGTGTATGCGTGAGAGGACATTCAAGTCAAGCAGAGAAAACGACGAGGTTATGACTAGTCGTCGCTGTGCCAAGATAGTTTCGTTAAGAGACTGGGACATGGGAGGGTACACTTGAAAATAGGTCTGTTCTTTTTAGCTAAGGTTCTTGCATGCTTCATCTTTCTTCCTTTTCCACGTTGGAGAGAAAAAGAGAGTCGTGGTGAACCCTGCAAGAAATTTATAAGCTCATAGCTCTCTAAAAAGAACAGGTTTGAAATTTCTATTCTCTTCATTCAAAAGAATATATGTATATACATACATATCCTACACATTTTAAACTGTACTACGAAATAATTTGTCGACAAGTATGCTTGACAAAAAAATATACTTGTCTTTCTGAACGGGGTTAAAAGCGAATAATCGAGAGAAGATAACTAAGAACAATTTTTTATTTCATTCGTTATCATCCCTTACTCGTAAGGCAACAGGTAGAAATGTGAAAAGGAGACTAAGGCCCAGTTCCACAACTGACGGTGTTAACTCATAACCGAAGTTCAATTTATTCATTGTCTCTTTCCAATTTTAGAATTGGAAAAAGATGAGAAACAAGTTGAGCCTCGGTTAAGAGTTAACCATGAGTTGTGAAACTGGGCCTAAATCATTAAAGGGAATGTCAGTTTGTAATTTTATGATTCTAAAGTGACTACGATTCGATCAACAAAACAGTGTCGCCTTGCAGTTGATTCTATTTGAAACTTTAATAAATCGTTGGATCGTGATTTATAGTAATTTATACATACGTTTGCAGGGAGGAAAAAGTTTTGACAGCGCGTAAGGTGGACTTATCGAGGATTCCTCGCCTGCGCTGCGCGCGCTGCGCGCGCTGCGAATCTCTCGACTCGCGGCGAGTTTCAGGCGGAATGTACAAACTCATGAGAATCGAGTTCAACAGCTCTTGAGAGTCTTGACATTAACGTTTGACAGTAACGTATGTCCAACGTATGTCAATTTTTTCGCAGAGTTATATAGTGCCAAGTTAAACAATAGGTCTGTTTTTTATTGCTGCACTCTGAACTAGTACACACAGTGCAATAAGTTGAAGTGAAACAAACGTATATTTGTTTCACTTCAACTTATTGCACTGTGTGTACTAGTTCAGAAAGTGCGGCAATAATAAACAGACCTAATTATTAAAAGGTTTACTAATTTTTTCTTAATTTACTTACTTTTTTTTCTGTTTTAACTTTTATTTTTAATTGACTTTTTTCAAGGTAACCATCAGACACAATGCGAGAGGATACTGAGTATATAATTTAGTATAATTTTGTGTCTTTTGTATCATATTGTATATAATCGTTTATTGTAAACCAAAATAACCAGTGATCCGATTCATTTAATCATAATGATTAATATTAACAGCCAACAGGACTGTTTATTACGGAATTACTAATCACGTAGTTGATCGTTTCTAACCGAATTTCTCTTTCCATGTATTAAGTAATAAGAAATTAATTGTCCACATATAAAGAACATTAGTACTATAAGCGTTGTATGCAAAGCAATAAATAAGCATAAGGCCAATGACCAAAGAAACGAGCATGATGGTTCAAATAATACAAGTTCTGCTTAGGTTAATCGAAATTAACATTTTCGTAGGTAACACGTGCTTGACAAGTTTTGTCAGTAAAACGTCAAATTTGCTGCAGGCTCTGCAGGAAATGTTTGACCTGGGTCATCATTGTTTGAGGGATCAATACTTTCGCAAAGGAAAAGAATATGATACAATACTTTTTACAAAGTTGTATCTACTGACACTCACTGATTGATTAACGTCTCTTTCTGTCTTGGAGTGCTATTTCAACCCCCCCCCGTTTTCGTCTTATGACAAGGGCTGCAGGACAGAGAGGAGGTTTTTGCATCTCTATCGCTATCCTATAACGCACAAATTTAATCCCACTCTTACATTCTTGTTTATGGCACAGCTGTTTAGGGATAATAATTTAGAAAAATTAATACTAATTAACTAAGGTCGAATCGCGAATCGCATCAATCACAAAAAGAATTGGTTTCTCCGTTCCTTGCCTTTTTTCTCATCACTTACGATAGAGGATGATATTGATAATACGATTATAACCTAAAAGTCATAAAAATACCAATCAGAATTTGCTTGACACAAATTATCATATTCATGTTGTATTTATATGCGTCTAATTCTGCCAAACATTGAATTCTCAAGTATCTACACGAGTGATTAGCATTTAATTGTATAATAAATTGCAATCTGTTTAATACTAGTAGAAGAATTAATTGATGTAATAGGCGTAATTTTTGGATGCGTAGGGAAGACAGCTTTTTTAATAATGGACATTCCCAATTCCTTTATTTCAAATCTTTTTCCTTCAAACAACTTTCAAACTTCAAGCTTTTACATTTGAACAATATCTATTTTACAAATTCATAAGAACTATGCTTTCTTTTTTATTAACCAAGTTTGTAGTCAAGTTTTCACGCAAAAGTTTGTTAGGTATTTAACGCAACTACTCTGAATCTAAAATGAATTTTTTATTGACTTTGTTGTCATGTCGTCGAAGCTATTTATTTTTCTAATATTGTAACATTGATTTTAATTTCTAGACTTTGTTTCGTCCTCCTCTCTCTTGCCAAGGTCTGTACATATAGAATTGTATTTATGTCGCTGTATAAAAACGTATTGTGCAAAGTCAATTACGTTGACATACCTATTTGCTCAAATGTTCTTTTTGCTTTAAACATTTGAGCAGACACACACACACACACACACACACACACACACACACACACACACACAGCATTCGGAAATTCGCGAATCAAAATAGCTCCACAGTAAGAAGAGTTTGAAAAAATTTCGGGACACCCTGTACACACATGCGCACGTGTAGTATGTATACATATACACGTATATACTCGTCTGGAATGAAGTAAGCAGATTTGTGAACGTACTTTGCACATTCTTTTATATAGTGACAAATGCATAAATTTTATTAAATCATCTGTAATCAGGTAGTGAAGGATAGAATAAATAATCGGAGCTCGACGAAAAAAAGGGCAAGCTCCAGTAACTTGCGTAATCGACTAGCGATTAACTGGTGAAGCAGCTTAGATATTCGACGAATTACACATGGAATTTTACTTGGAGCAAAATAAAGTCGTCGATCAAGTTCTATCTAGTCGGAGCATTGTCGAGGTCGTCTTAAGGGTTCGCGATCGCATCGAGAGAGAAACGTATCTCTTTCCCACACAATCTCTGTCTCGCTTGTAGAATCCACCTTTCCTCTCCACCTCACCCACTCGTCGAGTTTATCGTTATTCGTGTTGGTTAGATTTCGCATCAGCCACTAGGTGGTGGTCTTGGTTTCGCTAGATGCGTACACGTAGATGGCCAGTCTCTCGTCGTCGTCGCGGTCGTCCGTCGTGGAGGGACGAAGGGACCGGAGTCCTCGAGAGAAAGAAAGGAAGAAAGGAGGAACGTCAGCGGGGAATTCGGGAAAGGGTTATATAACCCATGAGGAGATACATGTATGAGTTAACAGTTGCTGACGACACCGTTCAGCGCTTGAGGCTTTCTTTTCGTCGTCGCTTCATCTCTCGCGAATTCGCTGAATTCGCTGATCGCTCACGCAATTCCCCGCACACATCCTCCTATCTTTGCCAGTTGCCTCCTCTCCACTCCTTTCTCCTCGCTATAGTGCAAGCGTGCGCGTTGCAACGACTTGCACCTTCATTCTGATGCCTACGAGAGCATACGAGAGCACACGAGAGCATCGCTGAGCATCGCGGCCACCGAGGTGCAGTGCTCGAATGCCGTAGCCGTTCCCAATGTTCCCAACCTTCAGCCTTTTGCCTTCTTCCTTCTTCCTTCCCCGGCATCCCCGTGCTCGCGCTCGGGCGTAAGACTCCAAGAGTCGTGGAGAGGAGGAACGAACGAAGGAGAAAGAGTGAAAGAAGAGAAGAATGACTGGCATGCATGTATATGTATTATATTTGTCAGAGCGTGTGCAATGCTGGTAAAGTACCCCCGCGCGCGCGCGCGTTAAATACGTACGTAACACACACACACACGTAAGAATACAGGCTTGTACGCGCATAGTTGTGCAGGAAACGGTGCACTGCACAAACACAGGGCAGCGCGCGTCGCACGTGCATCCATCCCGTCGATCCGCGTGTGCGTGCGCGCACACGCACAACGTGACGCGCGCGCGTGCTACACGTCGCCGTGTTCGTGTACGTGGGATGCGCGAGTTGCGTGAGTGTTGAGTGTACTGCGTTCGTCGCACTGCTGTCGGGCGCACCACCTAGTGGGTTTCCCGCAATACGCCGCGCGTTCTTGCTCGCGAGCAGTCGCGAGTGTCCGCACGAGAGTTCGCTCGCGGTGGCGATTAGATCGTCCGTCCAACCTCTGAACCTCCTCCGTCAGTTGTACTCGTTCGCGGCGTACCGTACCGGTGGCGTTCTCTCACTACGCTTTAAGCTTTAACTGCTTCAAGGCTTTAAGATTTTAAGGCTTTAAGGCGGCGTCGTCGTCGTCCCGCTTCACTCCGCGCGTAGCGTAGCGCTCGCTCGCTCGCTGGTCGATGCACGCGTGGATTGTGGAAGCGACCATATTATTCTATATCCGACGGTGTTGGTACGGAATTCCTCCTCGTCTCC